CATGATTATACCTCCACAAAATAACCATCCGTTACTTGTTACTTAGGAACCATTCCCAGACTCTATCGTACTAACTCTGGATCGATCCATCTCCAAGGGTATTTTCGCTAAATTGCAATCAACTTAAGCGGCTTAGATGTCTGTCACGCCTACTGCAACTGCAAGGGGGTAATTCATTATCGTTTAGCAGCTTTAGTAATCGTGCCAGACATCTAAGCCGCTTAAGCTGAAAGCAATTTAGCAAGAAGACCCTTGGGGATGGATCGATCCTGTTAGATCCATCTAGTTATGGGAACCCAGTCTTTATGTGTTGTCAACTTAGTATGTCATACAAGAATGTTATATTATATAATTCTTTGAGCCTATATAATTCGACCTCTTTAAATACTGTTATTATTTTGTTGTTCAAAGCGCTGGCCGTGGGTAGAAAAGATACCTTTAAAAGGAATGTGCTCCGAAGACAAATTTATAAGGTACTCAGTCTCGCCATAGAAATATAGGGTATCTGGATCACTAGGTCTCCAAGTGTGCTGGAAGTTCAACAGTTCTGGCATACAAATACAGCTTCCATTTCGATCAAAAGGTTTGATTTTTCTGGGAAAGCATATTTGCCTCAATTGTCTAGATTATTCTGAAATTTATCTGTGTAGTCTGTTGATAACTTATAAGACTAACTTTTTACTGTCTACTAGAACACTAAATCAAAGCTGCACCTGTTTTAAGAGTACAGTGTGGTGTGAAACAGACATTCACTCATGTGGGACAGCACTATAACTGAGATATTAGTCTCATAGTAACACACACACACACTGAGGAAGGTCACGGCGTGACAAAAAAGGTTTACTACAGGTAGGTGTAGCTTCAATTTAGTGTAAAAAGTGAAAAGTTTAATTTTATAAGTTATTTAGATTATGCTGGTTATATAAAGACGTCACTACCTCTGTCACTGTATTGCAGACTCAGTATTACGCATGTAGACGATTGAAGATAGTATTTTGATTCAATTTTTTTTCTATATGCAGAGCTATAAAGTTTGAAAAACAATGAAAATATCACTAATTGCCGCTGCATTGTTACTGGTGGCGCATTTGGTGGAAGCCACCAGTGAGAGATCGGAAAACGAAGTTAATTCTGTCCAGAAACGGTCTTCACTCATGAAAGGTCTTGCTCGCGAAAGAGCATGCGGCTCCACTACCTGCAAGTACGTAGATCTGTATTTTTTGTGTTGACTATAAAATAGCCTATTTAGAATAAAATATTCTGATTGAAAGATATTCTTTACATTTGTCAGGTACTTATCATTATTTTTAAATTTCTGTTTGCTTTAGCATGATCTGCAACACATAGTAAAATAAAATTTATAATATTATAGTTGCACTTATTATATATTGTGTCCCTCTCTGCAAGGAAAGTTCCAGAAAAAAAGATAAATAGCAACTTTATTAAAGGCTTTCTGTGCAAGTTGAGCTTAAAAACAGCAAATTAATGATAAAAATTAATAAAGACACAAATAGGTGAATGACTTCATAATACTTCACGGGAACCGGGGACGCCATCTTTATTCAGTGGTACCCAACCTATCAGACCAAATAAACTGTTTAATGCATTTTCTACTTTCAGGGTGTCGGGCTGTAAGTCCGGGGGTGGCTGGTGGTTTGTGTCGTATTCTGCGGGCTGGAACATACGGGGCTCTGACCGCGGTTGCTGTGGCAACTACAGTGGCTGCTGCAGGCATGCTTCTGACTTGTGCTACATACACGACTACACGTGTCGCTGTTGTATACCTAGCTTGTATTGTGGACCCCAGTGCAAGAAAAATCCTGGCTGTTGACACCTTTTCATAAATACCATTACTCAAACAAACTTGCATTTACCAGGCCTGTTTTTTAAAGGCCCTTTGACATTGCTGACATTGAAAACGGTTCCTATACAAAAATTTGAAATTGTAGTAGATTTTTCATTATGGTATAAGATTTGTAGAATGTACCTCCGGCAGACGATGAGCTGTCAGTAAATGAAATCTCTTAGCAAAATGAAAAGTTTGCAGCAATACTGCTGCAAACTAAAAAATTGCGGCAACGAGTTTGCAAGAAAAAAAATGTTATTGCTTATTTGCAGCCATATTGCAACATAGTTGCTGGAAAATTGCAAGAAGGAATTGCTGGTTGAAGCAATTTTGCTGCAAGTTTGCAAAGGGATGTGATTCCATGAATGTTCATAATCGGCCACGAGATTGTAAAAGAACACTAAATTAAACCATTAACAGTTTCAGCGTCCAGAATGGTCGTTATATATGCGTAACAGAAATCAAATAAAGCGAAGTTTGTCTGTAGAAAATGCTTCATTGTGTCTTCTGATATATGGAAGAACCCGTGTATGGTATCATCAGCGGCGGATCCAGACATCTTTTCTGACAGTCTTCCAAATTATCTTTGTTAATCCATCCTGTATTTTTGACCGTCTTCCGACAGAAAATATTAGATACCCGTCAATGTAAACTTGAAAATCTGACTTATTCATGGGATTAGGGCATTATGAGAGATTTACATGAAGCTTGCTTAATATGGGTCCAAGAAGAGGGAGTTGCCGATTTTAATATAATTCCACACGTTCTTGGATAAACGGACGGCCATTTATGGGTGGTGGTTTTACGTTGCCGAATAAACAACTCTGAACAGAACAACATTGGAACAGCATTTACAAAAGAATTCAAATTAGAAATGAATCTTACTTTTTACCGAACAGGGCACTCAGTTAATTCAAAGTAAAACATATGGTTTGGCGCGCAGTTTACAGACTGATGTGTCAGACGATTTTAGGACAATCTTTGGGATAATGTTATTTTTCAAACAAACAAACAAACAAACAAACAGACAAATACTACCATTTTATCAATGTGTTCTAAAAGCAAACATTTCTGTATGAGTTTCATTAGATATATTAGTGAGTTTTCTGAATAACAAGGAAAAACACATAACTGAAATATTTAGAATATTAATTTTGTTTATTAAATAAATTGTCTTAATATCACATACATACTTGAGTCTTTGAATACAAAATCAAGCATTACTAGCTCATTTTTAATTTTAGAAGAGCTGCTAACATACACATACGTAATACACAACTGCATTTGTCATCCTACAATTTGTAAGAGTAAGTAAATTCATAATGATTTCTATGCAAATGAATATCATTATTATTTTTTATTATCAATTATGTGTAACTTTATCTTCAAAGAGGGGAACATACACTACAGTTCAGTTTAAAATTGACATCCTGTACAGTGGACTTTGCATGCACATCTGATAAGCTCCCAGCATGCACTGGGCACTTCAGGTATAGTAATCTACACTGGCTCTCACTGCCCATCTAATGTATTCCAACCGTGTTCACAAGGTGAAGGATTCAATTATATCTCTTGGCTGTGTTCACAACCAAGTTGATCAGTGGACAAACTGAGTCATGGATCAAACATGATTCCACACTTGAAATCATGCCGCATAATTCACTAAATGGATTCCCCACCTCTCACGTGTGCTGTCCCTGCACGGGCAGAAGATTAAGCACAGAACCCCTGTAGGGAATTACGCAGCATGCTTTCAAGTGGGTCACGCCATATTTGATCCAGGTCAACTTGGCTGCTGTGAACAAAGCCTTAGATTGCCTGTTGTCTATTAATATGCCAGCCTGGTATTAGCACAAGAACTGCAGTATTGTATTCTATGTGGTGAGAAAGCATCTTGAGTTCAAGACAGAATGCAGTAACATTTTCCAGACAGAACAGTCTTATTTAGCTCGTATCATCCAGGTGAACAAAGCGAATATCTAAATCAAATGTATACTGATATCATGCACAGTGTATATATATACAGGTACATGTATATATATATATATATATATATAGAAGCCTTCCAAATTTCAGTTTCCTTTGCACTGAACAGCCATTTAAAAGTTCTCAATGCCCACCTACTAAGAGTAAACACACACACACACGAAATAAAGGTTCCTCTCAGTGAACTAAAACATGACAATTATCTCAATCCAATTCCTACAGAGAAACAGCACTATCAATACACTTAGTTTATGGCATTTCTGTAACATAGTCCAAAATGGGTAATGATAGAAAAGTCCCAAAATTCAATTTGTTGTTTTAATTCTGTTTTTTGCCTCATAGCAAGGGCACACAATACAAGTTTTCTTTGGGTATGCAAAAAGAAGTCCTTAGAAAAAGAGAATGCGTCTATTGGTTGGCGCTGAAATCCCAGAAACTGAATGTCCATCAGTACAGTGATGAAAGTCAAAATGTTTGTGAACTCCAATCCCTTTCTTCTACCAGCTGAAAAGGAAATAGTGTACGGCCCCATTAGACTTCTTGTTGGCATAAAATGAATGTAAAGCATTAATAATTTGTTCTCAAAGTAAGTAGCTCTTAATTTAACCTCAACAAAAAATTCTACATTAAAGAAGCAGCAGTTAGCATCTTTTTTCAAAAACACACACAACCTAAAGTAGACTTGCCCACTATTATTATTTAGGGCACATTCCCAATGGAACTATCAATCTATGTAGTCAGATTGATCGAACTCTGCAGGGACTCTGACTGAATGTAATGGTATTAACACACCCCCTCTTGTTTTCACATACTGGTACTTATATAATCAACAGCTTTTTATCTGCATTTTACTCAATGCCAGGAGGAGGCATGTTAAACTGATTGCATTCAGCGTGAGTCCCCATGGAGTTGGATCTATCTATGTAGAATGGTAGCTTCATTGGGAATGGACCCTTAGAGGGCAACCTACACTGTTTGTGTTCTACAGAAACAACTCAATTCAATTATTTACTGACAATTCGAAATAAAAGATTTAAATTTATAATACCAAAACAAGGTTTTTGTCAATTTAAAATAAAAAAATATTTAATTATTACCTGTAGCCTCTCTTGAATATCTTAAGAATTCTCCATATGTAACTTCCTCCTCTGCTTAGAAGACAATCAAGGAATGTTGGGCATGGACCTCCTTGAAGTAGGCCAAACTCCTGTGAAATTACAACATACAAATACTACGTATATATCATATCTTACACAAAAATACAACAAAAATACTCCTAGGAGATGGCCCAGAGAGATGTTCCAACCTAGGATACCTGCAGGCTGGGGCTGAAATAATAAATGACATTAATAGGGCCACTTAAAGCTAAATGATGAAATGCGCATTTAGTTCCCAGTGGACACTGTGGGAAAAAAATTGAACATAGCTCTGTAACTAAGTGATAGGAGATATGAACCCTTAATCATAATGCTTCATTAATCATTTAAATAATTTATTTAAACAAAGACATTATTTTGCATCTTTTGTGATAAAATCCGAAGTAAAACTTTCCAGAACATTTTCTGGCATCAGTTTGCAGTATTTGTTGTTATGATCAAATAGGTGTTAAAACAGTGCTGTTAGCTGTTCAGATGAGGGAGATACACTATAGCTAATAAGTCCCCGGTCACTTTAATAGCACACGCTGTCTACATCAGACGCGCTAATGCGCACGTCCCCAAAAGTGTTAATGNACATTACCGTAGTTCTCGGTGGACACTGCTGAAAAAAAATATTTAAAAAAAAATGCATTATATTTTTCATTACCTATATTTTGTACAAGAATAAGTGTACTGCATTGTATCCAATGTAGCTCTGTAACAAAGTGATAGGAGATATAAACCCTTAATCATAATGCTTCATTAAACAAAGACATTATTTCAGATATTATTTGTGATAAAATCAAAACCAAAACTTTTAAGAAAATTTTCTGGATCAGATTGCAGTATTTGTTGTTGTGATTAAATGGGTGTTAAAACAGTGCTGTTAGCTGATCAGATGAGGGAGATATATTTGAATTCAATATTACAGTTTTCAACCCTAGAATGCTGTTTTTACACCATGAAGTTGGCAAATTCACCCCGATTTATTTTTGATGCAGCAGGATTATCTCATAACATGACAATATTTATTTTCCATATTATCTAAGAAGATAAGGAAAAAACCCAAATGTAACAATCAATCTCTCTTAAGTGATAGGATACCACTGAAAGCATAACAATTGACAAAGAACCACGGCATGAAGAATCCATAATCAATACAACAGCTTGAAAATGCTTTAAATTTATTTATATATGTATATATTTATATATGTTATGTATATATAATGATACTGTCAAAATGAAAAAAAGATGACAGTTGCGGGAGATAAGCATTTGTTTCAAACATTGCAGTCTAGCAAAATATCATTTTAGAACATGGTTCCTCACAATTTGTTTGATACATCACTGTAATAATACTGTAATAATACTGCTTACCATATCACCTTCCTGTCTCTGGCTGTGTATATTCCACTTGTTCTAAAATTTGCCACATCCCATGTGTTGCATATCTGGATGAGATGACGGCTAGGGATGTTCTCGTTGGTTTTAACTGTCTGTTCCTTATTATTTAAAGCCATGCCCATGTAGCCAGCTGCTGCCTAGAAGCCACCATGTCATACAGAAAGGTGCTGAAAAAAACAAAACAGTCCAGTCAACCACTAGTCTTGGTCATGAAGATGCCTGGTGTGTTTTTGTACTGGATACAGTATTTGGCACTGCAGCCAGTTGCAACAAATGGTTAGTGCCACCCGAGCTTGGGAATGAGGTACGGCACTGAGCTTGGGAATGAGGTACGGCTAACAGAGATATCAACAAGGTGCCAAGCGGGATGATCAAGTGAATTGAAATGGGCATGTGTGTTCTGCGGCAGCGTGTCCGAGGAAGGGTGGACATTGACCTCAGAAGAACTGGATATTTTTTTAAATAAAAAGGGCTACCATTTTGGGCATGCGTGCAGTTGGAAAATGTTGTTATGCTCCTAAAAGACTGAGTGCATTTTTATCCATGCCTCTCCCTCTTCATAGCCATCCCTGGCTGGACCATACCAAACAGTTATGAGACATTGCTTGCCAGACTCAAGACCAGTACCAATCCCCCAATGTTGTAGGTGACACTTGGTTTGTATCTGATCTTGTCATATTTCAATGACGGTCAGACTGTTACCAACCAGATACTTTTTAATCATGCAGGTTTGGACTTCATCAAAATGGTAAGGGAAGAGTTTCAGAAGGCAGATCAAATACAAATTGGGAAGAGTGAAACAGCAAGTGCAAACAAGGAAAATTACCAACATGCATACACACAAAAGCTCAAAGAAATGGACACATTTAAAATATGTGTAGATTTGTACAGATCTGGTGAACTTCACCAACCCGCAAAGGCTGTTCCAAGACGCAAAACATGTCAAAAACCTACAAGAGGACATCCAAAAGGACCAAGTGTTTTGTAAAAAAAAAAAAAAAAAAAAAAAAGGATTATTCCCATTACTTTTGAAGAACTGACAGTCAAGAGAAGACAAATTTTATTGTTGTCTCCAACACAAATTGACAACTTTAGGGACATTTTTGGTTGTAGTTTGTTAAGTATTATCACATTCCTCATGTACAGAATGTCTGGATGTGTGTCATTTGTTCCGTAAAAGATAATTTAGGTATTGCAATTGAGAGATCTCCAGAGATTTTTATACTCGGGCTTGTGCAAGCATATGATATTAAAGGTTTTTTATCTACTTATCTTAATAATTAAGAAATATATTAGTTTATGTAGAACGAAAACAGAAATCCCAACATGGGAAAGAACTAGACAATATGTTATTTATAACAGAAATATTTGTTTATATTATATATGTTTATATATTACTGAATTAAAAAATTCAAAGCAGAAACTATTAAGGCGAGAGAGAAGATTTAAACCCCACAAACTATTTTTTCAACACCATATCAGTTAAAGCACTGCAGATTGTGGACTTTTGAAGGGGGAGGGCATGTAGGAATTTGCAAGCCACCCTTGCGTTTCGTTGGAGGAGTGACAGCCCACATTTATTTGCACTACATTTGGGACCAAAGATGACTCATATATTTGTTGTGGGTACGCAGACACGTGACGTTTATGTGCGAACTGTTCAGTAAGGTCTGAGTAGTGTTAATATCATGTGACTGGTCACTTGAGTAGTGTTATCAAATAGAAGGTGATGAGGAAAAGTAGATTTTAGAGTTAGGTCATTCGAAGGCTCTTTCGCATTCCGTGAAGATGGCAGAGAATATATATAATTCCCTCCCACCCACCCAATTTGAAGGAGTTTTACTTTATAAATTTAAAAAAAAAGTGTGTTAAGCTTGTTTGTTTGAATAAATATATTTAATAAATAAATACGAGATATAATAAGTAAAGATTAGAAAGAATAGAGAAATTAGTTTTAGTCTTAGTTCAAGCTTTTCAGTGTTATACTTATTTCATAACAGAACGTTTTAATTTTTCAGCTCGGATCCTGGTACGGCAGAAGACAAAGCAAGATGGAGTTTAAAAAAAAAAACTCAAGAACTGATCATTATCATTATTATTTTATTACACTTTTAAAAGACTTATTTTACATATATTTGTTTTAATCACTTTGTTCAAAGTTTGGTTCGTTAAAATAATAATAATAATAATAGCAAGGATATAATTATGGTTTTCAATGTTCACCAACAACTGAATTTATGGCAATTCAAACGGAAATAAAGCACACGGAACGAAATGAGCGCTTCCATACCTAACACTGTGTCTGTGTTTATACTATAAATATTTTATGTTCGTTTGAGTGTAACGAATTAGAACATAACCACTATAAACCTCCCACACCCAGCTCAAACAAATGGCTCAAATACATTCAGTGGCCATACATGGACAGATGACCAGCCCTACTGAGCCTGGATGCGTTTTCTGCACACACAATCGAGAAAGTGAAGGAGGTGGCATGCAAAGCCAATGCCACCATGGCTGTCATCCCTGGGGGGTGTACATCTAGGGTCCAGCCCCTAGACGTGTCCATGAATAGACCGTTCAAGGTACACCTAAGGAAAATGTGGACAGAGCACATGCAACGGTTAGCCATGGAAACAAAGGGTAAGTTTGAGAAATTGCCAATGGCCAGTTAACAGGACATTGTTGCATGGGTGGCATCAGCATGGAACAATATCAGCCCAGAAATGGTTGTCAAGCCGTTCCAAACAACTGGTATCATCAGCGTGTTGAAGGGAGAGGGATCCTGTCCAACCAAACAACTGGGAAATAAACAGAGTAGATATTTTAAAGTATGCTGTGGTTTTATGTTGCTTTTCTCTCTGGGTATTACCCAAATTGGGAATTGTGAATCGAACTGAACCTTGAATCTTCTGAAGGTGGATATAAGAGCCCTTAGAGTAAAATAGGTTTTTAAAGAAATTGATCATAAATGTTTTGGACATGCCCAACACTTATTTTTAAATGCAACATTCTATTTCTTTATTCAATTTTTTAAAACTAATGTTTTCTTTCTAACAGTGTGATCTGGGGTCTGCCCATCCTCTGAATGGGGCTGGGGAGAGCATCCATGGGGTCCAGTTAATGAACTTTACCCTCTACAAGAACATGGCCCCAGAGGTACTTAGGGGTTGCCCTGCCTCTCGAAAAGCAGATTACTATGCTCTTGGTGTCATGCTATTTGAATTAATGGAGGGAAGGTGAGATAGACAAAGTGTACAGTTATGGGCATAATGACTAAATTTAGGGGTACTTAGGGGTTGCCCTGCCATGTGGAAAGCAGATTACTATGCTCTTGGTGTCATGCTCATGGTGTTTGTATGTTGAAGAACCCAGTACAAATTTGGTGAAAGCTCGCACACGATTCTGTTTGGAAATTTTTATCGTTGGAGAGATTAATACCAGCACTCAGTGAAGATGGCCGAGGGACACACCAACAATGGGCAAGAAACAGCTATTCAGCCAAGAACAGAAATGCAAAGGTTAGCATATACTTGGGACATTTTGGCTTGTGATTTACAAGGTAAACAACATAGAACAATTAGATAAAGCAGGTTAGATGACGTATCATTAGGCATAAGTCCATGTGATGGAAGCGTCCCATTGGAGGTCCAGTCTTACATAG